GTTCAGCCTGTGCCTCTGGTGCCAACCCCCAGCACGCCCATACCAACGGCTCCCCTCACGTGTTCAGTGGCACAGGCCCAGGCAGCGAACATGTTCCAATCCACCTGGCACAAGAGGCCCAGGGGGCCAAGGTGTGTGTGTGTGTCTGTGTGTGTGTGTGCGCGCGCGCAGAGGAAGGGGGGAGTACAAGATGGCACAAAACACTTGAGATCAGGGTGAAGCATTCAGCCTCTCCCCATCCCACCACTGTAGATGGTGTCTCAAGAAGAAAGCAGATTGGAACTGGAGGAAGGAGGGCACCCCCTGAGCAGCTGGCTGCAGACTAGACTCCACTGGGAACCAAAATAGCTGTTAGAAGGCATGGTTCTTGGTCTGACACTGCAGGGAATGGCTGAAAAGCCACCGGCAATTACAATAGGACACGCCCACGGTGACTTCAGCGGTAGCACTTTGTGCCCACAGACAGCAAAGCTGGTGTTTTGGCAAACAGGAGGGGCCTCGAGGCCACAGAACACCTATTCCTCCTGGTCCCTGGCCCCCCCAACAGCCCAAGTCGCTGACAGCTCAAAGGAACCTGGGGCTCAAATGGAATGCACGCTAGGATCAGGCAGCACATCATAAAACCTTGCCCTCCACGACCAGCGAGAATTCAGAAACGCCGGGTGGGGTCTGTCAGGCACAGCTGGGGCGGCACAAGGCAAGGGGCTGGTTTCGAGCCGGCATGGAAGCAAGAGGGAAGGGGCTCCTGAGTTACTTGTTCACAGAGAATGGGAGGGCCCCGAGGCCCACCGGCCTGCCGGCCACAGCCCTGGGCGGCTGTTACGAAGCATCCGCAGAGCTATAGGGGAAGAACCTGGTGGCCTTGTTTGGGGAGGTGGGGCTCAGGCACTCTGCCTCCTCGTTCATTTTGAAGAACATCTCCTGCTCTCGTTTCTTCTGGTTCAGCTCTTCTTCCAGAGCCTAGGACAGAGGGCAGACGGAGCTCGTTTGGATCCCTTAGGACACAAGTCTTCCCCAACCACAGGACCCCCACCAAAGTGGCCTTCTCTGGAACTTCCCCTCCCAGACCTCAGTGCTCGGGTAACTTGGTCTTCCCTCGCTCCTGTCCCAGCGCCCATCACCCAGAAGGTAGGTACCACCTCCTCCTTCCTCGTGCCACAGCCACGCAGGAGTTTCCTATGGACCAAGGGCTCTGCTTTGGGGAAATGCCAATCTAGATGGGGTGTGAGGGAGAAGCAGATGCAAATCAGCTGGCAGGAAAACAACCAAAAGAATGGAGAAAAACCTGAGGCAGAAGATGAAGCAAGAGGTTTAACAGCAGGGGAAACAGAGATGTCCGAGTTACATGGTGCTCCTAACCAGGGCACCATCCTGCAAAACCAGGGGACTTCTTTTCAAAATATACGTGCAGTCATGCCACCCCCCTGAGATTCTAATTCTGAACGTCTGTGGTAGGACAGGGGTTCTCTACGTTGTAAAAGCACATCAGATAACTGCAAGGGGAGCATCTAGACGACAAGCACTGCAGGAGCTTCCCTTGGGCACACGCAAGTTTATCTAGCTAAATTGTGTCCTACCAGAAAAATTTCTTGAGGGTGCTCCAAAAATAAATGATTATTCAATTAAGAAAGGAAGCAGAGTGCCCAGGAAAGAGCAGGGGCTTTACAGTCAAATAGGATTCATCTCCATTACCAGCTGGGTGGGCCTCTGCGTGCTACCTTTCCTCTCCAAGCCTGTTTCCTCTCGTGTAAAATGGCAATATCACTACCTGCCTGGCCTGGCTACTGCTAAGATTAAATTAAAAACTAATGGGCTGGGCTTCCCTGGTGGCACAGTGGTTGGGAGTCCGCCTGCCGATGCAGGGGACACGGGTTCGTGTCCCGGTCCGGGAGGATCCCACGTGCTGCGGAGCGGCTGGGCCCGTGAGCCACGGCCACTGAGCCTGCGCATCCGGAGCCTGTGCTCCGCGACGGGAGAGGCCACAACAGTGAGAGGCCCGTGTACTGCCAAAAAAAACCCAAAAACTAATGGGCTATAATTACTTAGTACTTCCTACATGTCAGGCACTATGCTAAGTGCATTACATCTTATTTAATCTTCACCCTATGAGATAGATACCACTGTCCCCATCTTAACGATGGAGAAACTGAGGCTCAGAGAGCTTAGGTCACTTGCCCAAGGTCATTCAGCTAGCTGGGAGCAGAGCCAAGATGGGTCTAACTTCAGAGTTCAAGCTCTGAAACACTGTGTGCCACCATCTGCAAAGCCAGGCACACATGAGTTACTCAGTAAATGTGGCTTCTTTATTACTTACTTTCACTATAGAAGTAACCACTTTCACAGGATTTGACCAGCATTCTATTATGTCTCTCTCTTTAAAACTATTATTATTATTATTTTTTTTTTTTTTTGGTACACGGGCCTCTCACTGTTGTGGCCTCTCCCGTTACGGAGCACAGGCTCCGGACGCGCAGGCTCAGCGGCCATGGCTCACGGGCCCAGCTGCTCCGCGGCATGTGGGATCTTCCCAGACCGGGGCACGAACCCGTGTCCCCTGCATCGGCAGGTGGACTCTCAACCACTGCGCCACCAGGGAAGCCCCTAAAACTCTTATCTGATGCCCTGAAATAGTCTCAACAAACAACTTAATTACTAGATACCACCTTAAGCTCTCATTCCTTCAACAGTACTAAATTCTAGTGAGCTCTACCTCTAAGGAAAAATGGGGAAGGGACACTGAATCGCAATGCCAATTTTTCCAGTCTGTTGTAAGATATCCATATTCAAAAGATACTGGAAATCCAGATTTTTATGTAAAATTTCCTTATACTTAAAAAACTGGCAACTTAAAACAATTTTTTGAATTGCTGTATGTTGGCCATACCTAATGTCTATAAGCCAGTTTCAGCCTGTGGGCCATCAGTTTGTAACTTCTGCTATAGGAATACCAATTTTATTATAATAGCTACCACTTTTTTGAGCACAGAGAGGTTTAGTAACTTGCCCAGGGTCTCACAGCTAGTAATGGGGGAGCTAGGACTTTCTCCCACGTCTGTCTTCCTTAAAGCCTATGCTCTTAAGCACTACTCTATTTTACCTCTATATAACCTATATATTCCTCTATATAACCTATGGCAGGAGTCAGCAGTCTTTTTTCTGTAAAGGGCCAGATGGTAAATTTTTTTGCCTTTGCAAACCTTAAGGTCAACTCAACTGCTGTTTGGTGTAAAATCAGCCAGAGACGATATGTAAATGTAAATGAACGAGCATGGCTGTGTTCCATGAAAACTTTATTTACAAATACAGGTGGTGGGTCAGATTTGGCCCATGGGCAATAGTGTACTAACACCTGTTTTAAGGGAAGAAATGTTATCTTCATCTTATGGCCCCAAAAAGCAAGGTTCAGGAGGGAAGACTTGTCTGAGGCCACATTCTGTGTCAACTATGTCCCAAGCAACACCTTATTGACCTTACTAGATATTCTATACTTACTGAAAGAAAGAAATCTGAATGTTTCTAAAAATATTCCACAATGTACAGTCATCTCCCCTGCCCGCCCCCCATACATGGGCAGCAGCTCAAAGCTGCTCACTGAAATGCAAGAGTGTAAAAGAACGTTTATTCCAGGATGCAGATCATCACCTCCGGGTCAGTGTTCCAGCAGCAACCCAGGTGACTAAGGATAGGACTATTCTACAAAGAATTCTGGAAAGAGGCAGCCCGCACCAGCAAAATCCAATGGCTCTCCAAATACACACTGCGGCACCTCCCCTAAGCCCAGGCACCCCCAAGAAGCAATCTGGGCAGTTGCTAGAGGCAAGATGATGATTCATTTTCAGACTCTCAGGATGTGCCAAGGGTATAGAAGCCCTAGGTAAGAGAACCAGGTGAGCATCTATTTCCTGATGCCAGATCAGCCTGTGTCAGCAGGAGTATAATTGATTTGAGTGTCAAGTATCAAAAGTCCTAGCGGACCATGTGTGGTTACAGATAAGCGTGGGCCTATTAACAGGAAGGTCTGGGACCCTGGCCAGCTTCCAGCTAGAAAGCTCCATTAGCACAGGGAGGGAAGCCTCTATTCAAGGACTCCCGAGGCCGTTATATGGCTGAGGTGGGCAACTGCCTCCTGGGCAGATCACAGTTACAGCAAGCAGAGCTCAAGTACGACGGCAGAACAAACCTCAGGGCTCAGGACACGTGATCAAGGGTAATTAGGGCAGCTCTCTCCTCAGAGAGTTTAGGAGAGTGGAAGGACATGAGTACGTCCTTGGCCTATACTGTGGGCTGGTGGCTTTCTGCATAACACTATACAATATTCATTATCTTCACTTTACAAATGACCACACTGAGGCCCTGTCATGGTCAATTTATTTGTCAACCTGGCAAAGCCATGGTAACCAGTTGTTTGGTCAAACACTAGTCTAGATGTCACTGTGAAGGAATTTTTTATATTTGATTAACATTTAACTCAGTAGACTGAATAAAGCAGCTTACCCTCCAAAATGTGGTTGGGCTTCACCCAATCGGTTGCAGGCCTTAAGAGAAAAGACTGAGGTCCCGCTAAAGAAAGAGGGATTGGGCCTCCATACTGCCCTGGGGCTCAGCGCTGCAACATCAACTCTTCCCTGGCTCTCAGCCTGCAGTCTGCCCTGCAGATTTCAGGCTTAACAGTCCCAACAATTGGGTGAGCCAGTTCCTTCAAATAAATCCATAAATCTGTACCTTATCCGTATCTGTATCTCTATATCCATACCCCAGGCAGACACCGATGGCACAACACGAAGCAGAGCCCACCACTGAGCCCACCACTGAGCCCACCAGCCCAGCCAGGGTTACCTTTTTGCGTGGCCGAAGCTTGTCCCGCCATTCCTTTAGGTTCTGGTTATGGCTCTCGTCCAGGGCCTTCAGCTTCTGGGTTTCATGCTCTACCAGGAGGTGACACTTTTCATTCTGCAGCATATTCCAGGAAGTACAGGTAAGCAGCACAGAGGGCTGAGATATACCACGAAGGTACCAGCATCATTCATGTATTACTTCTCCTTGATTATAAACTCCATTTATACAAAACGCTCTACATGTAAAGACACATGCACCAAAAGGTGCCTGGAAGACTATTCCAGAATATTAACATTAATAATTCTTACCGAGTAGTGGAATCTGCAGCAATTTTGCAACTTTCTACTTCGGGCTTTCTGCATTGTTTGAATTTTTCAACATGAACGTATAAAACTAATAACAATAAATCTGTGCCCTAATCCCACCACACAGGGGCAACCACCACAGAATTTTAGATATATTTCCTGTCAGGCTCTGTCCTGTGCATTGTTTAGCTCACCCTGTATACACAATTCTGAAACCTGCCTCCCTCTCCTCTTAACATTATAATGTAAACATTTCTACATTTATACAAAGAATTAACATCTTTTACAATCATCATTTTAATTCCTACAAAATATCCCACAGTATGGTTTATCTAATTTATTTAAACATTTCCCTATTTTTGGCCACTTAGGTTGCTCTTAATCTTCACTATTATAAATAGCATTGTGTTAAACATCTGTGCTATGTACTGAATTGTCTCCCCAAAATTCATATGTTGAAGCCCTAATGCCCAATGTGATGGTATTTGGAGATATGGGGCCTTTAGGAGATAAATAGGTTTAGATGAGGTCAAGAGGGTAGGGCCCTCATGGCGGGATTAGTGCCCTTATAAGAAGAGACCAGAGAGCTCACATGCTAGACTGCTCCCTCCCTGTCTCCTTCCCTCCTTTTCTCCCTCTCCCCATCTCCCTCTCTCCCCCTCTCCTTTTCTCTCCTCTCTCTCTCTGCCATGTGAGGACACAGCAAGAAGGCATCCATCTGCAAGCCAGAGAGAGAGACTTCACCAGAACCCAGCCATGCTGGCAAAGCTGATCTTGGATTTCCAGGCTCCAAAACTGTAAGAAAATAAACTTCTGTTGTTTAAGCCACCCAGTCTGTGGTATTTTGTTATGGCAGTGTGAGCTAAGATAATCTGTGTGTATAAATAATTTGTATTTATATGTTATATAATTATCTGCATCACATACCATTTCTTCAGGAGAGATTTGTGACAGGGGTAAGGGCCATGGACCTGGCTGAGGCCTGCCAACCTCACTGTTCTCTCGCTGAGGTAAGTTACCTGCCTCACAAAACTTAACCTGGAATCTCTCATAGGCAAAAGTGACAATTCCCTGTCAATTCCTCACAGGGGATCAATCTTGTGGTTTATAAGCAGGGGGGGAAGTGCCTTTATCCAGATACCTCAACCCTACTGGACTGGAAGAGTACAACCCCTTGGGGAATTTTTATTTGGGGTTTCAAGCTCAAGGGTTCTGGGAATTTAGAAATTGCCTTGGTTGGGAATAATACTTGTGGCAGCCCTGAGTACCTCTGGCCTGCCCAGAGCTGGGGTCCCAGCACTCTTTATGGGTTTTCTCAGTTCATCCTCACAGTAAACCCATGAGGCAGGGTTGGGAACATAGATACAGAAGGTGAGTGGCCTGGCTAAAATTCACACAGCAACAAGCAGCAGAGCCCCTACCTGACAGGCTTCAATACCTGCAATGTTTCCTCCATACCTCCCTGCCTTTCCAGAAATTGCCAGATGGATCTAGTAGCCTAAAGAATTTCCTGAGGTCACAGAGGTTTGTGTCAGCCCATCTGTCAGGTATGGCAATGCCTCGCTCCACCACAAGGGGGCTCCAAGTACCAGCCCCCGGGGCGGGGACCCTTAGGGTGAGGCAAACCTTTTGTGAGGCAAGCCTTTTGTGAGGCAAACAAAAGGTCAAGGATCTGCCCAGGGAAGGAGGTCACAAAGGGGCTTGTCAATATCAGGATACCTTTTCCTGACTTCAGTGGGAAAGCTTTGAGCTTCTCACCATTAAGGATGATGGTAAGTAGCTGTAGGTTTTTATAGATACCCTTTATCAAGTTGACGAAGTTCCCCTCTATTCCTAGTTTACTGAGAGTGTTTATCATGAGCAGGGGTCAGCTTCTGTCGAGTACTTTTTCTGTATCTGTTGATGATATGATCATGCGATGCTTCTTTAGCCTGCTGATGTCATGGATTACATTAACTCATTTTCATATATTGCACGAGCCCTGGGATAAATCCCACCTGGTCATGGTGTATACTACTTTTTCTACATTTTAAAATTCTATTTGCCAACGTTTCGTTGGGGATTTGTGCATCTGTGTTCATGAGAGATACAGGTCTGTAGTTTTCCTCCTTGTAACGTCTGGTTTTGGTATTAGGGTAATCGGGACACCTTTTCCCAAGACACAGTGGTGACCGAGAAATCCAGCAGCACGCCCACTGCCAGGCCCCGGGCATGGCACGTTCAGCTCAGCTCTGTCATCTCATTTACAAAGCCTCACTCCAGTTCTGCAAAATAGGAATTATCATCCTTACCCCCTGCCTATTTTACGAATGTGGAAACTATGGCCTGGGAGGGTGATGTGATTTGGCCAACATCACACAGAGCAGCAGGATGGAAACCGTTCCACCCTGAGCTTCAGACTCCTTCCCCCGTTTGTAGGGTCTTTGGGCCCCCCAGGGAGCCGACTGCCTCAGGGGCAGGGCGGAAGGGCAGTACCTGCAGCTGCTGCAGCTCGCCCATGTTGCTCTCGCACTGTGCCGCCATGTCCCGCGTCTGGCTCTCATGTTTTTGCTGCTGCTGCAGCCGCTCTGCCTTCTGCCTCTTCTCCTCCTGCTGGGAGAACTGCAACAGAGAACAGGTGAGGCACCTGAGCGGGCCACGGGCCTGGCTGGGGGCCCAGCTCAGCCCTGTCCCGGGGAGGCCCCAGCTGAGGGGCTGGTTTGTACAGAGCCACACTGCCCCGCACCACTCAGGCTGTGCCCCCCGTCTGAAGTCCTCCCCCCTGAGCTGAGGCCCAGCCCCTGCCCTCAAGGAGCCCCCAGATTGGCGAGGACACTGAGACATGCTAGGACAGCGTATGTAGTAAGCAGGAATCACAGGAGCCCACGGCCACCGACTCTGTCCCGGAGCCACATGGGTGACTTGTGAGCGGGGCCTCAGTTGAGGAGAGGAAGGAGTTTACCAGCAGAAGCAGCTGCAGGATAGACAGACAGACACCCCGAGTGTGACAGGGAACGCGCGTGAGAAGGCAACGCCAAGCCTCCTCCCCTGTCCACCAGGGGGGAGTCGACGTGAGGCTCTTAGGCTTCTGGGCTGTGACTTCTGGCCTCCATTCCATTCCTCCTTCCAAGACCCCGTGCTGCGTCTTATATCCTATACACCCCCCCCACCCATGTAAGATTCAGGCCGCACCAAACCTGGATCTGGCCCCACTCCAGGACATCCCCGGCCCCCCCACCTGCTTGATCTTCTCGCGCTGCTCAGCGGCACTGCCTGCCCCGTTGATGTGGAGGCTCTTCTTGTACATGGCCATGCGTGTCTTGCCCTCGCTCCTCTGAATCTTGGGCAGCCGCGCCTTTTCCTGCTGCTGCCGCACCTTCAGCTGCTCCATCATGCGCTGGTTGTAGCGCTGCATCTGCTCGCACTCCTGAGGGGGACACCCAACCGAGGCCAAGGTCAGCTGCGTTCCACACACGCGGGTGTGGTCAGACGCCAAGGCTGCCACATGCAACTCAGGAGTCTGGGACCTGCGTGGTCCAGAGTGCTCAGCAGAGCACGGCTCGTGTCATTTTACTACTATTAAATATCATTTTCTGTTCTCACTTTAAAGATTACCGTTAATAACCTTACCTTCTTACCTTCTAAATGCCTTCTTAATCTCCAAAATATACAAACAGCTCATACGACTTAACAAAAAAAAACCCAAGCAACCCAATCGAAAAATGGGCAGAAGACCTTAATAGACATTTATCCAGGGCTTCCCTGGTGGCGCAGTGGTTGAGAGTCCGCCTGCCGATGCAGGGGACGCGGGTTCGTGCCCCGGTCCGGGAGGATCCCACATGCCGCGAAGCAGCTGGGCCCGTGAGCCATGGCCGCTGAGCCTGCGCGTCCGGAGCCCGTGCTCCGCAACGGGAGAGGCCGCAGCAGTGAGAGGCCCGCGAACCGCAAAAAAACAAAAACAAAAACAAAAAAAGACATTTCTCCAAAGAAGACATACAGATGGCCAGTAGGCACGTGAAAAGATGCTCAACATCACTAATTATTAGAGAAATGCAAATCAAAACTACAATGAGGTACCACCTCACATTGGTCAGAATGGCCACCATTAAAAAGTCTACACATAACAAATGCTGGTGAGGGTGTGGAGAAAAGGGAGCCCTCCTACACTGTTGGTGGGAATGTAAGTTGGTGCAGCCACTACGGAAAACAGTATGGGAGGTTCCTCAGAAAACTAAAAATAGAGTTACCATATGATCCAGCAATCCCACTCCTGGGCATATACCCAGACAAAACTATAATTCAAAAAGATACATGCACCCCTATGATCACAGCAGCACTATTCACAATAGCCAAGACATGGACACAACCTAAATGTCTATAAATGGGTGAATGGATAAAGAAGATGTGGTACATATACACCATGGAATACTACTCAGCCATAAAAAAGAACAAAATAATGCCATTTGCAGCAACATGGATGCAACTACAGATGGTCATACGAAGTGAAGTCAGAAAGAGAAAGACAAATACCAAATGATATCACTTATATGTGGAATCTAAAATATGGCAGAAATGAATCTATCTACAAAACAGAAAGGCTCACAGACATAGAGAATAGACTTGGGGTTGCCAAGGGCAGGTGGGGAGGGAGAGGGATGAACTGGGGGTTTGGGATTAGCACTTGGAATGGATAAACATTCAGCTCCTACTGTACAGCACAGGGAACAGTGTCCAGTCTCCTGGGATAAACCACAATGGAAAAGAATATTTTAGAAAGAATGCATGTACGCACATAACTGAGTCACTTTGCTGTACTGCAGAAATTAGCACAACATTGTAAAGCAACTACAATTAAAAAAGTATTCTGAGGGAATGCATGGGAAACAGATATAAAATGAAAATGGAAAGAAAGGCAGGACAAAAAAAGGGAAAAGAGAGAGAGACACGCACATCAGGTGTCAGAGTCAGCGGGGGAGCTGCTTGGGCCATCTGCTTCCCTGCACAGTTTCCCCAATTCCTTAGCCCCTGGATCTGAGGCAGGACATCGCCCAAGAAGCTCTCAAGCCTCACTGTGACCGACTTGGCTGCTCTCAGGAGCAAGTGATGCCCCACTGAGGGGCAGCCTCACGGCTCTCCCAGGTCTCCTAGTGGCAGCCCCCGATCCCAAGCTGACTAGGAGCCTCACCTTCTCATGCTTGCGCACCAGTTCGTGCCGCTGGAGGAAGTACTGGTCTTTGAGCTGCTGCTTCACCAGCTGGTGCCTCTCCTGCAGGTGATGCTCCTCCATCTCCCACAGCGCCGCCTCCCGGTCTGTGGAGGACATGTCACCCGGTGAGGTGCAGATGGCCAGAGCCCCACCAGGCCCTCCCCTCCACTGCCCCGAGCCAGGTCTCCTCACACTGGCTGATAACTGTGCCACGTCCTTAGACTATGTGGGCTGAGCCAACTCCTAGAAACTTCCAGGGATGGCAGCACCCAGCAGCATGGTAGAGTAGGAAGTGTTTGGAGTCAGGAGCCAGAGAAACCAGAGGCTAAAACCCAGCTGCCTCACTGGGATTTGAGATGAACACAAAATCCTCTCCAGGCCTCACCTTCCATCTCTGCCAAATGGGCACAACCACACCACGGAGGGAAAATGTCCTTGGAAGATACTTTTATGTTCAATCTACATTGCACCTCTGCTTTCCTAATGGGCAAATAGGAAGGGCTCACGTGGAAACCCCATGAAGAAGACAGCCTCTTGTCACTATTTCCTCCTTTGAAAAATAGGTGAGACCCTTCATGTCCCATATATGCATTATTGAAACAGTTATCTGGCATTTTATCACTGGAAGTCTCAGGACAGGGCAGGGAGCTGGTGTCAGATGGAGAACCTCACGCCCTGCAAGATACAGCTGGTCATGCTCAGCCTACTGCGAAGTTGTTTATTTCACTGCACCCCTGTTCCATGAAAGCCAGCATCTATCCACAGAACATCAAAACAGTGATTTGGCTTCTAAACCAAAATGAGAACCCCAGTCCCACAGGTAGGATGGTTCTTATAGACCATCACATGATAAGAAAAGGAAACAAGGGCTTTTCTGAAACATCCGTGGCTCTATTCAGAATGTCAGAATGCCAAGGACCCCATTTTTCTTGGCCCACATCAAGTACTGAGTGGTTTATACTGTTTAACTGCCCTGGCCATCAGAGTCCTGGCTGTGGCCCCTGTTATAATAATGAGCCAGAGACAGCACTCGTATATTAGTCCTATGTTTACATCGTTACAACAGACAGGGACCATTAGCTCCAAAGCCCACAGGCACCAAACTCTAATTTTCACCCATCCAGTTGTTTTAAATGCAGTTCAAACAACAGACTTCCAGCCATTTGGAGCCTGCTTGCTTTGCATACCCCATAAAATTGTACCCAACATCTGCTAGCCGTAAATTAGATAGCCTGGGGGCTATATACAGACCCCAAGCCCTGCACCCTCCAGAGCTCTCTACCCCAGAGCTTCCTCAGCTGAGTGACATCATCCAGATACATAAGCCCCCTCTCTGATCCCCTTCTTCCCCAGGATGGCCCCTGCCCTCCTCCCTCTGGGTGGTGGCTCACACTGTTGTCCCCGGACAGTCTAATGCTGGGAGGGACTCACCAGCCTGCAAACCTGCCAAAGCACCACCACACAAGGGTAGTTAAGAGCTTGGCTTCAAGATAAGGTCTGCATCCAAGGCCCACTCTACCACTCGTTAACTGTGCAACCCAGGCCAAAGAAGAGTCACTCTCCAAGCCTCAACTTCCTCATCTATAAAAATGGGGAGGACAGTAGGGCCTGCGGTGCAGGGTTACGGATAGGATGCAGTGTGACTAAGGTGTAAGATTAAGGCACGCGGCTAGGCAGAGGAGTCGCTCACTGCGTGCTGGCTGCTAGGAGCGGCTCTCAGTACTGCCCCCCGACCCCCGTTAACCCGGCTCCCTCACGTGCAATTCCCACCCACTCTACATTGCTTCCTTTCTTTTTTCCTTTCCTCGACATCCACAATAGTGTCAGATAGTGTTGTTGCTAACTGGTATCTCTGCCTCAGTCCTGACTTCAGTGGGGATTTTCCTCATGTTTCACCATAAAGGCTCATGTTTGGCCTTAGGGTGGAGAAGACCTAGCAGTTCTTCCTTGCCCGGGGCTGGCATGTACATTCGTGGAGAGTCTGGGCCAACATGCGCACCCCGCTCTCGGGCACCCACCTCGAAGGAGCTCCTGCTTCCTAGTGAGGCACTCGCGCTCCTTGCCGCAGATCTCCCGCCTGTTGTCGGCCGTGATCCTGTTCATCGCCAACTCCAGGTCCTCCTTCTGCTTGGCGAGGAAGTCCCGGTCCTATTAAGTATTTAAAATTTTAGGCGTGTTCATGGTATTGTGGTTATTTTTTTTAGAGATCCATATTGAGATATTAACAGGTGACATGATATGATGTGTGGGATTTGATTCACAATAATACAGTAGAGTGGGGCAGTGAGTGGGCAGGAATTAATAATTACAGAGATCAGGTGATGGGTATATGGGGATTCATTATACTATTATACCTCTTTCTGCCTATGTTTTCAATTTTCCTTAATAAAGAATAAAGAACTGAAATTTAAATTTAAAAATTTTAGCTACTATATGTGAAGTAGATAACCAACAAGGACCTACTGTATAGCACAGGGAACTGTACTCAATATTTTGTAATAACCTATAAGGGGGAATTCCCTGGTGGTCCAACGGTTAGGACTTGGAGCTTTCACTGCAGAGGGCCCAGGTTCTATCCGTGGTCAGGGAACCAAGATCCCGCAAACTGCGCATCAGGCACAGCCAAAAAAACCCAAAAACAAACCAAAAAACCTATAAGGGAAAAGAATCTGAGAAAGAATACATATATATATATATATATATATATATATATATATATATATATCACTAAATCACTTTGCTCTACACCTGAAACTAACACATTGTAAATCAACTATACTCCAATAAAAAATAATAAATTAAAAAAATTTTTTAATAAAAATTTTAGGAAACATGTTAAGAAACTAAAAATGTACACTAATCTTATCACTCAATGCTAGCAGCTGGTTTTGGTGTGTCTATATAAATGTATTTACATCTGTTGTTGTTTCACAAAGATTATTTTAAAAGACTTGAAGAAATATTTGTACACCCATATTCATGGCAGCATTATTCACAACAGCCAAGGGACTGGAAACAACTCAAGTGTCCATAAACAGATGAATGCATAAACAAACACAATGTGGTATATACATACAATGAAATATTATTCAGCCTTTAAAAGGAAGGAAATTCTTATATATGCTACAACACGAATGAATTTTGAGGACAAGGTAAGTGAAATAAACCAGACACGAAAGGACAAATACTGTATGATTCCACTTATATGAGGTCAAATTTGTAGAGACAGAAAGTAGAATGGTGGTTGCCAGGGACTGGAGGCAGGGTGTCATGGGGAATTACTGCTTAATGGATACAGAGTTTCTGTTTTGCAAGATGAAGAGCTCTGGAGATGGATCATGGTGATGGTACTCACAATGATGTGAATGTACTTAATATCACTGAACTGCACACTTAAACATGGGTAAGATACCAAATTTTATGTTATGTCTATTTTAGCACAACTTTTAAAAATTATTAAAAAGACTCTTCCATGTCATAATGTAATCTTCTATCAAAAATAAGTTTGAATGGCTGAAAATATTTCATGATATAGCTAGCTATACCCAACTTATCTACCCAATATATAATAGGTTGTTTATAGGTTTTCTTTATTTTAGATACTGCTGCTCTTCACATTCTGGTAGCTAAATGTCCTTGAACCTCTGTGATGATTCATCTTCAAGATCAGTCCTAGAAGCAGAAAATCTAGGCCAAAGGATGTGTCCATTTTTGAAGCTCTTGATGCAATTGCCAGAGTGGGCTCCTAAAAGGGCCAGTCTTCTCTCCCTCTGTGGGGACTAGGGTCTGTCTCCCCACCCTCCCTAGCCCTGCATTCTTTTTCTAATCAACCTGTCAAGGGACAGGTTGGAGGAAAGTATGATGGTGTCCTGGAGTCAGACTCAGCTTTGAGGCCTTGGACCCCACTGTTAACTGTGCAGTGTCACCTCTCTGAGCCTTAGCTTCTTCCTCTGTAAAGGGGAAAACAAACAGCACCTATCCTGGTAAGCCATGAATGCTAAACCAGATAACATACAAAACAACGGTCATTTTAGACTCTAATTTTCTTTGCGTTTGGGAGCAGAGGAAGTGGGACAAAATGAGAACATGAAGTGAAAAGGCGGCTACTGAGGCTGGGGTAGAGGGGACTCAGTGTATAGCTGGGAGAGGCTGACAAGAACGAGACCTATAGGGCCTCGAAAGCATGTGAGAAGGCTGATCTGATCTTATGGACAAAGTGGGGGCCAGTGAAGGTTTTAAAGGCCCAGGGCTGTTGGGGGAGGGTGCCATGATCAGATTTGGAATTCATATTGATCACAACAACTGGTTTGAGAGAAAGAACTGCAAGAACTGGAGGGAAACTAGCTGGGAGGCTACCGCAGTAGTCCAGGCAAAAGACAAGAATGACTAGGGAGTCACAGAGATGTTGACAAGTTGATGGATCCAGAGAGAGTTTGGAGATTAAAAAAAAAAAACAAAACAAAACCCAAGCTTCAAGAGGTGATGAAAGATTGCAGGGAAAAGAGGTGTCAGGAATGACAAGGCTTCTGGCCTGACATCACAGTGGAGGACGGTGTCCCCTCAGAACACGAGAACAGGACCAGGTCAGGGAGATGTGGGTTTGGTGTCTTTGAGACTCCAAAAGATGCCAGGTGGGCAGAGGGATGTACTGGGTTGGTCAAGGAGATGTGATGTACAAACAGCTATAAAACAAGGCAGGAAGCGCTAAAGACTTTGGGAGGGGTGGATGTTAAGGTCTGTGGTATCTCCTAGAGATGGGAGAGCTCACTTCCAGCTGGAGCAAGGGCAATCAAGGAAGGCTGCATGGGGGAGATGATAACAGGGAGGTTAATCCGGATGGTCTGATTTATTCAGAATGAGAGATAGGTGAGTATTCAAAGGGGCACAGACAGAGAAGAGCTCTGGTCACCATTCAGGGACTCAAACCTGAGACTCCCCAACCCGTCTACTCCCCAACTGAGGGGCAAGAACTCACGAGAAGCTGCTTTTTCTGCGCATGCTCCTCCATCTTCTGCTTCATGCTGTCCTTCCGCTGCTGCCTGGGGAGCTTCTCCACCTCATTCTTCACCTGCACCAGAGACAGCAGAGAATGGCTATAGGTCAGGGCACCTCCACACTTCATACTGAATAAGCCTTCAACCCCAGAACTCCTGGGCCAGGGAGACTGAGGATGAGGCTCAGCTTTCTAGGGACTAGCCCCGACGCTGCTCTCCACTCCGCTGACAGATGGCACCTACTGGCCACCTGTCTGCTGCTGGCTCCGGTTTCCAGACTCCTTCAGAGCAGACAGATGCTGTTTTTGCTGTTTGGTATCCATCCCCCTTCTTCTGATGAGAGCACCTCAGTTTCTTTTAGGACAGTGTTTCTCAACCTCTTTTTAAATTGTTGCCCCCCTCAGAAGCCCTTTTAGACAATTTTTCTCTAATTAACCAACACCATGAAATTTTAATCCCACAGATATACTGTCAATCTGTTAGACCATTATAATATCTAAGATTTTTTTAACTCCTTGGGGGTGATATCATCCCGGTTGAGAATGCATGCCTTAGGTAGCCCCTGCTCAGTCTCTGAGGTTCAGGTATGGCTGATGCCCCCAGCCCCATCTGACTCTAGGCTGGGCATGTGATCCAAGCTGTCAATCAGCATATTCCATGCCTTGGCATCTGGGATTGGTTCAGAGATGAGTGTGTGATCTTCGCTGGGCTAGTGAGCTTCAGGATGGGTGCTGGAATTATTGGGGGAAGCTGCTCTCTGTCCTTCGGGGTTGCTGAGCTGGGAGGATGTAGGCCATGGTGGACCACCCTGGGGGGGTCTGCCTGAGACAGAATCAATGCATGGAAGCAATGTTAAGAGCTGAAGGATTCCTGGTGACACTTCTGCCCTCCTGGTCAGAGAAAGGAGTTCTTGGTTTGATGTCTTTGAGACTCCAAAAGATGCCAGGTGGGCAGACGGTGAACTAACAGTATTCTCAAGCCAGCTGGAACTGGCTTTCTGTTTTTTATAACAGAAGAAGAAAAGATTCGTGACACTTCACTCTAAGGAAGCTAGAGTTCCTCAAACAGTTTTCTCTGAGTAACCCATACCTTCACAGTTACCTGGCACCCCAAAACATGCACTCACTGGCAGGGCTCTTAGGAGAAGGTAGTGAAGGATTTTTCCATACTGTCCATGATCAAAAAAAGAGCATTCCAGGAGAGTTCTACTTCTGGCATGGTGAGGTACGCCAATGCAGCCTCTCATTCCTGC